AGGCTTCAGAACAGCATCCATTCTCCTGCAGTGAGTCAGACATGTGCCAAGGCTACAAGGTACATTGTACCAATAGGCGAGAACCCTTAATCTGTTCAGGAAGGCTCACAAGTGCCTTAAATCTGTGGTGATACATTCCACAGCTATCATGCAATTGAAAAGCGAAACAAAGTATCCAGTGAAAGTCAAAACCTACACCTGAGATGGGTTATGATTCATATCACTCAACTATTTCTCTTCTCAGTCACCCAGTATCACTGTAACATTTTGTAGCATCCTTTCTAATGTCAGCCTTACATCGTTCTGTTTGTACTTGCCTTGTCCTCTGTAAATGTACCCATTAATTTCTCATCATGGCCCCCAAACTGTATGTGACCCACAACCTATAAAACACTCTGTATATGCTCAGGAAGCTCATAGTCAGTTTGGTAGACTGGATAACCTGCAGCACTGTCGTGTTTTTCTCTGTCAGAGGAGTTGCTTGGGTGTCCTGCCAATAAACTGCCGAGACTGAGCCTTGCCTCTACCCCGTGAATCTGAACATACATTCTCCTGGTTCTGCTAGCTGAGAGTTCCTGGCACCACTCACACCTGCACAGCATTTTCAGAGGTCCTCCTCTGAGGGCCCGAGGGACTGTGCTGAGGCAGGTGTGCTACTGGCAGCCCTCCCAGACAGCCTCCTTAGTTGTGGCCTCTTCGGCACAGGCTGGCAGCCTTTTGCTTCTTCCATGCTTTTTAGTGCTTCAGGTTTATTACTGTGGATTGTTCAGTACTGTTGCTCTCACTCTGGTTTTATTGTTTTAAACTTATAAATGGATTAAACCTTTATTGTGCTGCATTTCAGAGTTTTAATGTTTGCGAACCACCCAGAAAGATTTGGCTAACTTGGCAGTATGGAAATGTAATAACATGAATAAATGCTTAATCCCATTGAAACAGATGAGTCTAAGCACGCCTAGCTCTATCTTGGACTGAGGCCGCTGTCTCTTTTGGTATTTACAGAGCATCTATCGATTGGCAGAAGAAAAGGAGCAGAAAGTGACAGGAAGAGGAAATGCTGGGAAGTGGAGCTCTGGGACATGGCTTTTGCTGTCAGTTGATACTTCAGACAAGCAAATGAAAATCAGGCAGTCTGAAAATGTTGCAGGTGTGGGGTGGGGAGAAAGTTATTATCTCAAGTAGCCTCCAGCCATATTTCTAGGTGTAACATCAGCGTATTGTGTGTTCTCCAGAGCAGTCTTAGTTTGGGCACAAAGTCAAACAACTGATTATTATAATTTATTGTTAGCATATTACATTTGTACTTTACTTTTCTTCTTCTTGTGAGGAACACAAGGTGCTTTACAAGGTACTTCCCCTCTCCATTTTATCCTCACAGCAACCAGCCTGTGAAGCTGGTTAGACTGGGGGTCTGTGGCTGGCCCAAAGTCGCTCAGAAAGCCCCATGGCTGAATGGGGACTAGAACCTGGATCTCCCAGGCACCAAGTCCAGCTCGCCCCTGCAACGGAAGTGCTAACTTATGAAAAGTGTGGTGTAGTGGTTAAGAGCATGGGACTGGGACTCAGACGATCTGGGTTCTAGTCCCTGCTCAGCCATGGAGCCCACGGGGTGAGTTTGGGCCAGTCACAGACTCTCAGCCCAACCTACCTCACAGGGTTGTTGTTGTGGGGATAAGATGGAGGAGGAGATGTAAGCTGCCTTGAGCCCTTTGTAGGAAAAAGGCAGGATATAAATCGAAAAATAAATAAATAAAAATAAATAAAAAGATGTTTGGATCTCATGCAAATGCTGGTGTACGAAGTGAGATTGCCTCCGGAGCAGGTAATCTTGCACCTGATGAGGTCAACAGTGCCCATGAAAGCTTATGTCAGAATGAATCTGGAAGGCTTTCAGGTGCCCCAGGACTCTGTCTTTTCACAGCAACTGATTAATGCAGCTGCCTCCCTGGGATCTGAGAGTCCTGAATCCAGTCCCAAGCATGCCAGGGCAGAAAAGCAAGCCCTGCTGAGCTCTTATTCTTCTAAGCATGTTCAAGGTCTCAGTGTAAATAGATTATTTGCCTTCACTGCAGATAACAGTGGAGGATAACCCAAGGTTTAACAATTTCCCTTTTATTTTAAGCTAGCAATAAACTAGTCCCTGTCACTGAAGAACTGCCTATGGGAGTGTAACAGCACTCGTTCCTACCCATGCGTCTCAGCAACTGGCGTAACACAGACATGTTGCCTCCAACACTGGAGGTGCCATCAGGACTGCAGCCCTTGCTAGCTGCCGCCTCTGGGAGCAGATGCTTGCTGAGAAATCAGGTCATTTCCTTCTATTAGTCTTCTCCAATCTGGTACAGATATGTTAGTCTATAATTCCCATGATTCCCAGCTGGCTGTGCTGCCTAGGGATGGTGGGACCTGTGGCCTAACTCATCTGGAAGGTTAGGAGAGCCACACAAGAGAGAAACAGGGCACTGGTCTGAAACCAAGAGGCAATTCCTGATCCAACTTGCCTCAGTGCTATTACAGTTGGGATATGCTTTTTTCATAACAGTTACCTGACTTCTACATACTTGTCGTTTTTAGAAGTGCAACTGGTGGCTATCTCTTCCTTCTGCCAGAGATCTGCTTTGCAGAGAGGCAGTGTGATGTAGTGGTTAGAGTGCTGGACCAGGGACCGGCCACGAAACTCACTCTGGGGGACCTTAGTCAGTCAGTCACTATTAGAGCAACCTATCTCACAGGGCTGTTGTTGGGAGGATGAAATGGAGCTGGCTTGGGTTCCTCAAGAGGAAAAAAAGGCAGGATAGAAATGCTATGAATACAACTGCGATCTACTGTTTGCCATAGTAGCATTTTGTATTCTCTGTCTCCTTGATGTAAAACTTGGCATATCAATGACTGCCATATTGTGGCATGGGTCTCATTGCTGGGTAGAGGTGCAACAGATGTTTATATGAACCAAGGCAGCCAAGGTTCCATTTAGATGCCAGGAAGCACTTCCTGACAGTCAGGACCCCGAGGGTGTGGAAGGGGCTTCCACAAGAGGTCGTTGAGGCCCCATCCGTGCAGTGTTCAAGGATAGGCTGGATGTGCACATGGTGGGCATGTCATGAGCAGAGCCAGCTGGAGCCGGGGGTCAGAGTAGATGGCCCGGGGACCCCTTCTGACTTGCTCTGTTTCTGTTTCTATGCCTTTAGGGAGTGCGAAGATTTGTTTAGATGAGCCTAGATTGACCATAATACCACAGGCTGCTGCTTGTATGAATCAGCCACTGCAGGTAAGTAAACATAGACAGCACTTTCAAATAATCCCACATGACCATTTTTTTCTGCAACAAGGTTCAGAGCTGGCAAAACCCTCCCTATTACTGGCCACAGTTCAGTGTGCCCTAAGGTGGCTATGGCCGTTGCTCTGCATCTTAGTTTTTGGTCCAAGTCCCTGGTTATGAAAATGCAGAACTCAGGACTCCACTTGAGTCTCAGTTTTGTGTATCTGGAAGGATTTATTCAGTCCTCTCAAGCAGTTCCTCTTCTTCCATTCATAGTCCACGTACAATCTTGTACAGGGCTAATATTCTTTGCAGTATTATGTTTGCCATGCAAGAATTGCCTCCTTTTTCACTTCTTACGGTGTGGTTTGTATTTGTATTGCACAATAAAAATAAACCATTGAAATATTTCCCTCAATACTCATGATTAAATTGTGCACTGTTCCATTCCAAACTTCCGCCAAATGGTGCTCAGTAGCCTGACCCTTAGCCTTCTTCCATCCCTCGCCTGCTGCTCGGCTCCCTCCCGCTCCCACTTGTACACTGCAGCAGCACTGGTTCGCCTACCTTAAAATAGGAGCGATCTTCTAGCAGCCTAAAGATGCAATGAGTGTGCATATTTTTTTCAGGCATGGTACAATGGTGGTGTACATCACAAGCTGGTAAACAGGTCTGGGCTTATCAAGGAGATCTAGGGTAGGAAATGTATTATGCTGGTGTGGCAGCTCTCCAAGGGAAAAGAGACCCAGGATCTTTCCAGACAGTGGGTTCCGGTTGTGAAAATCAGAAGGGATTGTGCAACTATTCTGCATTTTCTTACTATTTTCTGCAACAGGACATTTGCTTGAAAACAAGTGGAGATTCCTCCATCTGCTGGAACAGAAGAAGTACGGGGGGGGGATGGAGGACTGCACAACCTCTGGATGCCACCCTGCCCCGTTCACAGAACATCTAGAATCACCCTCGCACTTGTAACCACGTCAGAAATCTGGTCCCCACAACACATCTCTAAATATTGTGACACCGGCAAAGAAACAAGCAAAACCACCCAATTCCCCGTCCCAAATCATTTCACCGTGCATCTTTAGAGGGAAAAGAGTTCTACAATTCCCAGTCTGGCTGGCTGGGGAATGCTGGGAATTTCAGGACTTCTCCTTTCTCGCCATGCAGATGATTGCACCCTCCGAATTACGTGAGTGGGGGCATGCCAGCAATCCTGGTGCGCGGGATGTATGTGCGTGTCCGTGGACCTCCCACCCTTCTTATCCCCCGCCCCTTTTAACCTATTTTTCCTGTTTGGGTTTTTACAGTCAGCGCCCCTCCACCTCCGCGCGCTCCCTCCCTGCCCCACAGCATTTTGCAGCCCGCTGTTGCACCCGGGATCCCGGCGTCCCTTGCCGCTCGGCCTTACTCCGCCCCTCTGCCCCGGCCCCGCCGCACTAGCCCGCGGGAGCCCGGCCGCCGCCGCGGGAGCCGAGCATGCCCGGCCGCCGGCCCGGGAGAGCGCGCGCCGGCTGCGTGACTGGCCGCCCCGGCACGCCGCGCCCGCCCGCTGCAGCGCCCGCTGCGTTCCTGCAGGGGGCGGGCT